CCCCCCCCCCCCCCCGCTCCTCCTCGCTCCCTCCCACCGTGCTCCCTCATGTTGCGGGACACGGGGACATCCAAACCGTGTGGCGATTCATGTAACCGCCGTGTAACATTTATCTATAAAACCATTTTAACGCCGTATGGGGTGCGAAATGTAGTCTCTGTTGAGCATGATCTTGGAGCAGTTCGAGGACCGGCTGGTGCAGATCCTTCTCGCCGTGGCGGTGCTGTCGGGGGTGCTCAGCGCCTTCGAGGACGACCCCAAGGTACGGGGCTGTACGATATGTTGTAACGCGGGTGGTGGTGTTGGAGATAGGTGGTCTCCATACTGGTATGTGAGGGTTGTTGTTGTTGTTGTTGTTGTTGTTGTTGATGTTGTTGTTGTTGTTGTTGTTGTTGGTGTTCGTGTGGCCGTCGATTGTGCGGTACACTCGGGCCCTGTCCGACTCCGACCCTGCGGCTGGGACCCGTGTGTTAGGGCGTCCCGTGTACTGCAACCATACAGTACCCATCAGATATTTCCTCTTGTCCTCCTATTTTTATTGTGTATTTTCATCTCAATCAACTTTCAGATGGCCTTCTCTCTTTGTCTGTCAAGTACCAAGATTACACCCGGAATGTACCTCTCTCTCTCTCTTACTCGTGATGTCGACTTCCGGTTGCGTTTTTTCCTCAAATAGCGGGTAGAGGCGAGCGGAGGGTTTTAGGCTAGTTGTTGATTGCTATTGGCTCTCGAACCCTTCAGGTCCATGTAATTCGAGTATAATTTTTCAGGGCAAGTTAGCCTGTGACAACGGGAATCGACTGCGTAAAGTGTTTGTGATGAGTATGGGCAGATAAAAGTGCTGGATAGAGAGATCGGAACTGTTATTAATGTGAAGACAACAACAACAACAACAACAACAACAACAACAACAACAACAACAACAACAACAATAACAACAACAATAACAAAAACAATAACAACAACAAACCGATCGCCGAATCCGGTGCATCTGCCCGATCGTGAAACACAACCCATGCTCTATTTCCTTTTCATTTTCCGCGCTCCCTTGGCGCGTGCGCGAGCCGATACTCATTGACACAGCTCCGAAAGGTCCGCACCCCCGAACCGCCGTCGTCCCGAACAGACCAAACGTTGAGCGTTCCGCACTCGACTCCATGACCAATCTCGAACTCCCCGATTTTTATGTCGAAAAGGCGTTCGTGGAGCCGGCGAGCATCCTCGCTATCCTTGTCCTGAACGCCGTGGTAGGGGTGTGGCAAAGCCGTTCCGCCCAGGATTCGCTGGACGCGCTGAAGAAACTCCAGCCGGATAACGCCTGCGTGGTCCGAGACGGTGAGTTACCCCTGCCCGCTCCCGCTCCGCTCAAGGGTCTATGCAGCTGTGTACAACGGTGTGCTGGAAGAAGGATTCGGGTTCCAGGAGTGCTTACGCGGATGCAGGCGACAAAGCGGAGGGTTGGTTTGGTTTGGCCGGGCCTCAAGGTTGCCCCTATTCGACACAGTGGCTTAATTATATAGTTGTTGCAGGTGTTTGCTCGCACGCGTCTCCTGTCGTGAGGGCCCTCTCGCTTGTCGTGCAGCTTCTTCGGAGGCACGCGTTCTTTGTGTGACGTTTTTTTTTAGATTCCTCTGCGTAGAATACTTGGCTCTTTTGTGTTGCCTGTGGGGTGATAATACCGACTGAG